ATACTCTAGATTTAAAGTCACCTCTGAGAAGCCCCATGACCCACATGAGGCTTTCGGGGGACATCTAAGCACAAACTATAACACCTATCTTTCCCTTCTGCTTACACTGAAATCTTTGTATTAAACCTCTTGTTATTGTCAGCTCCATTGCCTATTTCTAGGACATCCTTCTGAATTTTTTAAAGTACTGGTTTAGTGGTCATGAATTTTTTTTTTTTTTTCTGGAACCAGGGATTGAACTCAGGCCCTTGCACTTGCCAGGGAAGCGCTTATTCCACTGAGCCATCTCCCCGGCCCCAATGAATTTCTTTTAGTTCTCTTTATCATGAAAATTATTATTTCTTTACAATTTTGAAAGATAGTTTTACAGGATATATCAGAGTTGGTTGGAAATTGTTTTCATTTAGGACTTGAAGACCCCAAACTTCTGACCTTCAAGGCTTGTTGAAATAGCTGCTATTTTCTAATGACTTTACTTTAGAAGTGATTTATTACTTTTTTTTTTTTCCTTATATTTAGGACAGGGTCTACAGGGTCTCACTACGTAGATTGGACTCAGTGATTCTCCTGTTTTCAGCCTCCCAAGTTCTGGGATTATAAGTGCACCCCACCATGCCCAGTCTCAGTCGCCATCAGCATGCCTTGTGGGCAGGGCCAGCACAGCATACCAGGGATCAAACCCCAGCTGCTGCGCTCAGCCTAAGCAGGCGCTTTAGTCCGCTGAGCTATAAGGCCGGCCCTGCTTTTCTTGAAATATTTTTGAGATTTTTTTTTTTCTTGTGGTGGACCGCTAGTATTTTGACTATAATGTGTTATGCAGAAAATCTTTCCTGATTTTGGCCATTTGGGGTTGTAGATGCCTCTATTACCTGTATATAAAATTCTTTCCCTTTATTGGGAAAGTTTTCTGCTATTATTTTACTAAACAGATTTTTTCATGCCATTTGTGCTGTCTTCTGACTTTCACTAATTCCAGTGAATATAATACTTGTCTTTGTGTCATTTTGGATTCATTTTTTATGATCTCTTATGTTTTAAGGTATCTCATTAATTGGTCACTGCCTTGTCTTCTAATTCTAACACTGTCCTCACATTGGTCACTTCTACACCATATACTTTTTTTTTTAATATTTATTTATTTATATATGTATTTATTTATTTATTTTGTGTGTGGCCAGCTCAGCCCACCAGGGGGCAGGCGGGCTGGCATGTGGTGCTGGGGGATTGAACCACGGTCCCTGTGCTTTGCTTGGCTTAGCTTGTTCTAAGTAAGTGCTTTAGACCACTGAGCCATCTCACCAGCCCTACACCATATACTTTTGATAAAATTTTTAATATCCTGAGTTTGTATATGGAGCCCTTTTATGGATTCTAATTATTTTCTATGCTGGTCATCATGTTTCACATAATTTTGTTTAGCTCTGTTTTACAGCTTTATACTATTGTCCTCTGTAGACTTATCATCAGTTTTGTTTATTTGGCCCAAATCTGTTTATTTACATCTTGTTTGAACTTATCAAATGCCTTATTGCTCTGTTTTGTTATCTCCCTAATATGATTTCCAATAGTATATATGTGTGGCTTTTCCCTGTGGATCAACTTTGGGGGATTTAAGAGGTTTTGGAGGCATTTTGTTTGTTTTCATGTTTGTTTATTTTGCTTTGTGTTATGTGTGCTCAGGGTTTGGGTTGATCATGGTGGAAAGTAGTTTTTAACATGGAGACTCTTTAGTTAATCCCTACTTTTCAGTGGTATTCTGTGGGTGAACCCGCTCTTGACCTCTGCCTCTGTCCCAGGATCTAGTCACCTTCATTTTCTTGGGATGCAGTGTTGTAGTGTATTTGACTCAGTAACCAGTTTCCCAGGAATGGGTCACTGTATTGTTAAGGACCCCAAGGCAAGCCAGATATTAGCATTACAAGAAAAGCAATTAATTTTCTTTGTACCAGGAATTGAACTCAGGACCTTGCACTTGCTAGACAGGTGCTTCTACCACTGAGCTATACATCCTGGGCCTCAAGAAAATCAATAATAATAGCTATGTCACATTGGCTATAGTAATAAAATCAGCATCAGTTATGACATCAGCTGATGACATAGCTCAGTAGCATAAGGTCCTGAGTTCGATCTCCAGTGCCAACCCCTCACCCCCCAAAAAACAGCATAAATTATGACATCAAATATATACTGAATATTGAAAAATCCTAAGGACCAGTAATGTCCCCCTCTTAACCATAAAAAAGAGATATGTAAATATAGTATGAATGCTACAGGCAAACCAAATATCAACCTAATTATCTACTAAATGAAGCAACTTTACCTCTGTTAACTATAGGGGGGAAAAACAGTACTTAACAGCAGTAGTATAAAGTAACTAGGTACTTAGAGATTCAAGAAGCTTAGTAGTTATGCTAGTAAAGGTAGAAGATGGTGGGAAACCAGAGAATGAAAAAAACAAAATTTGGTAAGTTAATCAATGAGATGAAAAGGAGGAGAAAACAGTGAGATGTGGGGCTTCTATTGCAAAATAAAGGAAAATCAGTAGTGTTACAGAACAGTTCCAGGAGACCAAAAAGAAAAAGAAGAAAAAGATAAACAGAACAAAATATAGCATATAAGATAAAGAGAAGGGCCGGGAGATGGCTCAGTAGAATAAGCACTTGCCTGGCAGGCACAGGGTCCTGAGTTCAATCCCCAGTACTGCAAATAATAATAATAATAATAATAATAATAATAATAATAATAACAAAGAGAAGAGAAAAAAGAGTGAAGGGAGAAAGAGAAAAGAAACTAAATGAGGAAAAAAGGACAAAAAAAACAATGAAGTACAGATAAAAATAATGAAAGTAGAAAAAAAGATCAAGTCAAAGAAAAAATTTCTATGTTGTTGAATGAATGAAGGCCAGCCAAATAGCTCAGTGGATTAAAGCACCTGCAAGCAGGTGCAGGGGCTGGGTTTTGATCCCCAGGCCTGCTGTGCTGGCCCCACCCCCAGGGCATGCTGAGACAGCAATTGAGACTGGGTATGGTGGCATGCACCTGTAATCCCAGCTCTTGGGAGGCTATAAACAGGTGGATCACCACCAGTCTTATCTAGTAGTGAGACCCTGAACACCCTGTAAACCCTTCCGTAAAATAAAAAAAATTTAAAAAAAAAAAAAAAGAATGGTGCCTTCTCAAGAGCTACAGCCTTGGAACCAAGGCATAAGATTTTCTCTGCCTAGATTTAGGGCCCATGGGTTTTTTAAGCGTCCTTGCATGAGTGGCCCCTTGGTCCATTCAACCCAGGCTGTGGTCACCAACCAAGCCCAGGCATGTCCTTGCTCTTGTTAGTAGATAGGAAACCCAGTTAGCCCTCTGCTTTCTGCTGGGTGAAGGCTGAAGGACAGCAGATCACATGGACTGTTGACTTAATGTCAGTAGACCTGGGGTCTGGTTGCTCCGATTTCTCCCTGAGCATTGTCCTTGTCCAGGATCAGGTCAACTGGTTAGTCCTTGTCTCTCCTGCCCAATGCTTAAGGAGAAGCAAAATGTAGGGGCAGCTCGGAGTAATTGGATGGTCCTGCCCTTGTGTGAGGGGTGTGTGTGCCAGCACAGAGTTATCCAGCACAAGCGTGGTCACTCACGCTGTTGGGGGAGGGAGGGTGCTGTTCTGTGCAGGCCTGCTTGCTCCTGTGTCGGCGAGGGCCCACATGTACAGGGTGGGCCTGCCTGCTCAAGTTGGGGGCTTTATGTGTGTTTTAACTTACATGTAAGGACAAGTTATTTTTTTAAATTAGAATTTTTCATTTCTGTCTTCTTAGAATTCACTTGCTGACTGTATCAGATTTTCCATTGCTGGATATAATACCTAACACAACTTAAAGGAGGAAAGGTTTAATTTAACTCATAGTTTGAGGGGATTTAGTTCAGAGTCAGCTGACTCCAAGGCAAGAACATCATGGTGGAAGGGCATAGCAGTCAAAGCTTTTAGCTCATAGCGCCATAGCAGCAGAGGAGGGAACAGTGCTAGAGCAGAAGGGGCCAGTGACAAGATGCAGTGCCCAAGATCATGTCTCCATGACTGGCACAGACACCAAGAGATGTGCTCTACTTATCTGCTAGGTGTTTCTTAACCCAGTGACATTGACACATCAGGATGAATAGTTACTCTGACTTATGACTTGGACAAGTGGCTCAACTCTGGTAGTCCTTGTACCCTTTGAAACTTTGCAGCCTTCCTAAGATTTACAAGAATAAATAGATGAGTGTTTCTCAAAAAATGATCTATAGATCGCTGTCCACAGTTATCCGGGTTTTTAGTTAGAATGAAAAAGTTTGGACCCTCATCAATGTTTACTGTATCAGAATCTTAGTTTGTCAGAACTACAAAAGAATTTAACATTAGACCACTTTTTCCTTTCATGTATTCATTTTTTAAAATGAGCCATTCATTTATTTGAAAAAGCAAGATGTAGGTCAGTGGTAGAGCTAGCCTTGCCTAGCATGTGCCATTTAGTCACAGCACTGGAGAAAGAAAAAGAGGGGAAAGAAAGTGTATTAGCCACTCTTGGGTTGCTAGGATACAGTAACCAGTGCCCACAATTTAAAGGAGAAAGGTTTTGATTTATCTCATGATTTCAGAAGCTTCTGTGTATGGCAAGTAGGCCTCAAAGTGGAAACATCATTGTGGATGATCGATCGATCGAAAGTGCTTAGCCAGCTGAGGCAGCTGGGAGCAGCACAGGGAAAGGGACCATACACAGTACTGAGGATCACAACTGCATGTCCCACCTGGACCCCCGAGGAAAATGCTTTACCAAGGTGCTAGGTGTGTCAATCCAATGAAGCTAACATATCAGGACTAAGTTACAGGAAGTAAGGGAAGGGAAAGAAAAGGAGGGAAGAGGAGAAAGGAAGGGAGGGAGGAAGCCTGAGACTGAGCCTAGGACTTTCCTAGAATTCAAGTTTGGCAGAAGAGCAGAGGAAGTTGCAGTTGGAGATAAAACCAAAAGAGGGCTATCACCTCTCAGTCTTTTGACTGAGATCAAGTGTTGTATCAGTTCTTATCATTTTAATTAAACTCTGATATGTCCTCTATCCCAGGACAGTCTATTCAGTGGATTCTTTAAAGTAGGAGATGGAATAGCGACTTGCTCCAATCATTCCATGCCTGAACCTAGCACTGATGTACCTCCAAGGGGAAATGAAGCTGATGTTCAAAAAGCAAGGTGCTAATACAAGCTTAGAAATGAAGATTCCAGGGCTGTCAAGACAGCTCAGTGGACTAAAAATCTGCTTAGGCAAGCGCAAGGACCAGGGTTCAATTTCCAGCACCACATGCTGCACCAGCCCTGCCCCTGGACACACTGAGCTGGCCACTAACTGGGCATGATGGTACACATCTGTAATCCCAGTGATGAAGAAGCCAAAAACAGGAGGATCACTATGAGTCTGAGCTGTGTAGTGAGACCCTGTACCAAATACATTAAAAAAGAACAATAATAAGAAAAAAGAAATGAAGATTCCAACAAGTAAGGTGTAGAGAATTGTGTTGCCTGCTTCTGATTAGGTTTGGCCTAGTCACATGATTAGGTTTGGCATGGTAGAGTTGGTGGTATTGATTGGACAAGGTTAGGGAGCAGGAGAGAAGAGGAATTAGAGATAAGAATGACAGAAGAAATTTAAGATTTACTGCGGAATGGGGTTAGGGAAATGGCTCAGAATAAGCGCTTGCCTGGTAAGCACAAGGGCCTGAGTTCAATCCCCAGTTCCACAAAAAAAAAAAAAAAAAAAAATTTACTGTAGAAGGAAATATCAATTCCAAATGTTACTGGCAACTGGGATCTTGAGGTCAGAGGAAGAATGTCCTTTTATAATTTTTACTCATATGTAAAAGTAGGCTAAAAGGAACCTCCATATACGTAACACCCATTGTGGCAAGCCGAGGAGTGTGTTTCTGTGCATGGCCGTATCACGGTCCCAGATTTTTTTTTCTGTATTTTATGGAAGGGTCTACAGGGTGTTCAGGGTCTCACTACTAGGTCAGACTGGTAGTGATCCGCCTGTTTACAGCCTTCCAAGTGCTGGGATTACAGGCGTACACCACCACACCCAGTCTCAATGTCCATCTCAGTGTGCCCTGGGGGTGGGGCCAGCACAGCAGGCCCAGGGATTCAACCCTGGACCCTGCTTGCAGGCTCTGTAATCCACTGAGCTATTTGGCTGCCCGTAGTCCAAGAATTTGTGAATGTAAATGTATATATAGAACTTGAGAACAATTTTCCATTTCATTTTATTATTTTATTTATTTTGGAGATTAACCAGGAAAATTTGTGAAGAGGAATGGGGAATGGGGAATAGGAATAGCTCCTGACAGAAGGGGTCTGGAATGAATGGGTTGTCCTATTTTACTTATGGTATGGTATGGTATGTTATGGTATGCTATGGTATGCTACGATATGGTATGTTGTTTCTCCCTTCTTTTACTGTTAAACCTGGTACTATTCTCCTGGGTGTTGTGGGTAAACAGAAGTAATACCAAGTGAAAGTAAACCAGGGGCCAGCCAGATAACTCAGCGAACTAAAGTGCCTGCTTAGGCAGAGCAAAGCAGCCAGGGTTCAATCCCCACCCCCGGGGTGCGCTGAGACAGCGACTGAGACTGGGCATAGTGGAGTGTGCTTGTAATACTAGCACTTGCAAAGCTGAGAACAGGAGGATCACCATGAGTCTAATCTACATGGTGAGACCCTGTAGACCCTGAAAACCCTGTACCAAATACATTTAAAAAAAAAAAAAAAAAAAAAGGGCCGGGGAAGTAGCTCAGTAAAATAAGCACTTGCCTGGCAAGTCCAAGGGCCTGAGTTCAATCCCTGGTTCCGCAAAAAAAATAAAGTAAACCAAGCACCTTCCTCGAAGGCTTGCTCTATTTCTGTCCCCCATCTTTCTGGAGTGCTGGTGTGGGAGTAACCTGAGGACCTAACTTTGAAATATTCTGACAACATAAGAATATTATGTGCTCAGTGGGCCTGGCAGGTAAAGAGCAATGGCTCAGCGTTTCCAGCCTTTAACATGCATCTTTACTCTCTGAAAGTGATCCTAAACCCGGAGTTCTTAACATACCAGGTCTCTACTCCTGGCCATACTTTATTCTCTCCATTGGACAAGGAAAATTACACTCAGGTGTCCCTAGGATGGCCTAACCAGACCCTTTTTTTTTTCTTGGCGGAACCAGAGATTGAACTCAGACCCTTGCACTTCCCAGGAAAGCGCTTATTCTACTGGGCCATCTCCCCACCCTCCATTTTTTTTTTTTTAATGTATTTAATACAAGGTCTCACTACACAGATTGGACTTGTAGTGATCTTTACTGTTTTTCAGCCTCCCAAGTGCTGGGATTACAGGTGCACGCCACCATACCCAGTCTCAATCTTGTCTCAGCGTGCCCCAGGGATGGGGCCAGCATGGCAGGCTGAGAATCGAATCCTGGGCCCCTGCATTTGCCTAAGCAGGCACTTTAATCCACTGAGCTATCTGACCGGCCCTAGCTACCTGGCCATCCCCTAGGCCCATTTTGACATCCTGCTATTGTGGTCTCACTCTAGGTTACATAGCCAAAGTCCCCTCCCTGGGGCCAGGGAAATGGCTCGGTAGAATAAGTGCTTGCCTGGCAAGCCCAAGGACCTAAGTTCAAAACCCTGGTTCTACCAAAAAAAAAAAAAAAGTCCCCTCCCTTCCTGCTGCTTTCTGTTCCTGGCCACTTTCTTTCTCTGTCAATTCTCAAAGATGGTTCTTTAGCCCAGAAAGAGAGGATCTAAATTGAAATCAGAAAATCCAGGCTTAAGTGTGTAACTTGCCAATAATCTCTTCCCCACTTGGTGTCTTGATTTCCTCCTCTATAAAAAGAAATTAAACAATATAATATTAGTGAAAGTGTATTAAACTATTAAGTCTAATTTGGATGTTATCCAACTATAATTATTTCTGTGTAGAATTCATGAACAATATCACAGCTCTTCATTTTACAGATGGAAAGTTAGGGTTCTGTGACCTTTATTCAATGTGGTGGTTAATCTTATGTATCAAGCTGGTCATGATATGGTACCCATTTATGTGGTCAAACACAAGCCTAGACAGTATTTATTTATTGCACCCAAGCATATGCATGCTAAGCCAACACTGTACCACTGAACTACATCCCTAACACTATCAAAGTACTTTTTTGTGTGTCCTTTTGAGACAGGGTCACTATGCAGATCAGACTGGCCTTGAACTCACTTTGTAGCCCAAGTTTGCCTCAAACTGACAGCAATCCTCCTGTCTCAGTCTCCAAGTAGTGGGATTACAGGTGTGCATTACCACACCTCATGAAAGTACTTTTAAATATGAATTTACTGTTTAAATGAGTAGACTTTAAGTATGGCAGATTTGCCTTCAAAATTTACATTAGTATCCTCCAACAAGCTGAAGACCTAAAGAGAAAAGACCAAAATCACATGAAGAAGAAGGAATTCAGCCTCCAGACTGTTTCTCAAGACGGCAACTTCAACTTTTGCTGAAATTTCCAGCCATTGGCCTAGAGCACATGTTGGCTACCCAGCAGATTTCATACTTTACAATTTCCAGCCCTTGCAATTTCATGGGCCAATATTGCGAATTAGATAGCTCAAAAGACAGAGACAGAGAATATAGAGATTACAGAGACACACCCAGAGTCATACTCTATTGGTTCTGTTTCTCTGGAGAACCGTAATATAGTCGTCCTCGTACTCATATGGCAATTACTGTATTTGGCATCTCCTGTGGGTCCAATTAGCTGGGTGTGGCAGTATGTAATCCCAGCACTTGGGAGGCTGAAGCAGGAGGATCACCATGAGTCTGAGACCAGCCTGGGCTACATAGTGAGTTCAAGCCCAGCCTGAACTACATAGTGAGACTTTGTCTCAAAAAAGACAACAACAACAAAAACCCCACCCCTTTTTCCACACTCTCTTGGGTCTGAGAGGCCCAGACCGGACCCTCTCTTCTGGGATTTGCCAGCTCATATTCGTTCTTCAAACTCACTGAAGCGTCATGATCTGTTAGGAAACATTCTAGCCTTTCTAACAGCATTGGAACACCCATCTCTGACAAAACAAAACAAAGCAAAAAAGGGGGATATAAATAAAGGACCATTTTGTAGTGAAAAAAAATGTAAATGTTTATAGATAATAGGATGGATATACAGCTACTTTCCCTTAGTTCAGTAAAAAGAAATGCTAATAGTGTTTAGATAAGATTTCATGTCTGCATCTTGTCCAGAATCCTCTGAACTACTATGAAGACAATAATATGCAATGTATTAATTATTGTAACTGTCCTTACTAACTTGTTTTTTAAAACTGTTTCATTGCTATTTTATCTTTTTTTCTCATTAAAATGAATTTAAAAAAATTTTTTAAAAGGAACAAACTCAGCATTGTCTATGACCAGTGTAATAAGATAAGAAAAAATTTAAAAGGCATCTGGACCAGAATGAAAAACCTTGATATAGAAAATCTGATGGAATCAACAAAAAGTCTACTAGAATTACTAAATGAGTGTAGCATATTTTAGGATAAATGATTAACATATAAAATTAATTGTATTTCTATGTATAGCAATTAAATGTTGGAAATTTTTTTTTAAATTTGTTTATTTATTTATGTGTGTGTGTGTGTGTGTGTGTGTGTGTGTGTGTGTGTGTGTGTGTGGCCAGCTCAGCCCACCAGGGGGCAGGGCTGGCTGGCATGTGGTGCTGGGGGATTGAACCGCGGTCCCTGTGCTTTGCTTAGTTTAGCTTGTTCTAAATAGGTGCTTTAGACCACTGAGCCATCTCACCAGCCCCAAATGTTGGAAATTTTAATAAAAACTTCCCATCAGAAGGTATGAAATGTACATAATTTTGCTGAGTTTACACACCTATAATATTCAATAACGGAACTTAGAAAAAATAGGGTATACAGATGAATGTCCATTTTGTATCCGTGTATTCAAAGTGGTTAGGATAGATATATAGTTGCATTCTCTTAATGAATAGAATGATTTGTTCTAATGGTGTTTGTAAATAGGATCTCAAGTCCACTTCTTGTACAGCAATTAACCACTGAGAAGAATATATGCAGTGTGTTATTTGTTGAAACTGTACTTCGATTTGATTTGAAACTGTCTCATTGCTGTTTATCAATAAAATTAAAAA